GAGCTGTTTTCAACGGGCTGGTTTGAGAAATCGTTCGCCGTCCGCGTTTAGGGCTAAGCCGCCGGGGAGCGGCCGAGCGCCGCAGGGTGTCTGTCTTCTCTTGCAGTTGAGGAGTCGCTCAAGATTACGTCTTTAAATCTTGGGTGCTAAACGTGGAAGTCTGAATTCTCTTTTAATTTGCTTTTGGATGGTAGGGTGGTTTTTTTTTTTGAGTCTGTGTTCCTGTATCCTAACCTGTAAAACATATAAAAAAGCTTTAGTTCTGGGTGAAGCGTGCACAAAATGTGTTTTTCAGAAGTGCTGCAGACAGAAATGCACCAAATACCTGCGTTTGCCACCAAAGCTCCGGTTTTGTTTGCCTCATCCTCTGTTGTAATAGAGATACCACCTCTGTTTGGGGGTAGCAATGGATGGACGGTTCTGTCAAGGTGAAACAGATTTCTTTTCTGACACTGTAATAGGACTAATCGTCCCTCTAGAGCACATCAGCACTGGATCATATATCGTGCTTAATTGGGCCTCGTGTTTGACTCTTGGCAGTATCTTCTTTGCCCTCGCGTTCTTCAGCACTTCGTGCGCGCTCTTCTGCTTCGGCATGTTCGGATTTTGAATGCGGAGTGCTGTGAAACTCAATTCTGAGGGTTTACAAAACATGGCCCGCAATGCAAGGATTGCGCGTGCTTGCCGTGGATTGAAGCGCGCAGAGCATAATCTTGCATTTTTCAGAGCAAATACATGTCCGTGTACACTGGCCTTCTGGTGAAAGAGAACATTGTACTGTAGTTAAATAGATGCTTGATAAGATATTTTTCTCGCTTCTTCACAATAAATGGGGAGAAAACACATACGGGAAAAATTGTAGTTCTGAAAGAAATAATGAGTGCAAGTTTTTTTTCAAAATAGAATGCAAATTGTCACTTTCACTTATGTGACCGGAAATGTTACTATAGCAATAGGTAAAAGGTCACAGATGATGAGCCCTGGTCGTGTTTGATGTAAGCTTCCCATTTGAAGTCTCTTATTTAATAAGTAAATGTTCGACAGTAACTGTGAATGCTGTTTACACAATAGACTGTTATATCAATATGCAGGTAACTTCTGCTAAAAGTCAGTAGCCCTCTAAAATAGCAGACTGCAGAACCCTTCCGTGTGTGCTTGCCAACTGAGAGCTCTTGCACTTGAAAATTACAGTGTCAGGAATTTACAACTTCCGGAATACAGGAGGGCAGCAAATTTTTTAAAATTTAAAAAATCTAATCATATTAGTGAAATTTTAAAGTGTTATTACCAACTCTCTTGTTAATCTGCTATCTATTTTTATAGACAGAAATAGGCTGTAGTACTTGTTGTCATTAAGGGCAGAAGCCAAGCAGCAAAGGAGCTTGTTTTTGTTGCTGAAGCATTGTGGAAAACACTTAGTTTCCTCCTTCACTGAAAGCAAACGACAAACATGCGGCTTCCCCCCCCCAAAATAATATATGTATGTATGAATTTGTTAAATATTTTGTCAAACATAGGATGCACTGTTTGCCCAATTTCAAGTCAGAAGAGGTGTTTTTTGTTCTTTAGCTTGCTTCTGTGAGGCACTTGGAGTCTTTTAAATCTTTTGTTTCTGTTTTTTCCAATACCAGCATAATGTGAGGCTGGAATAATCATCATGTATTGTCCTTTTTTATCGGAATTGGACTGTTGACACAGACATTCACTTACCACCTGTGCATGCACTTAGGAGATAAGGGCAGCACAGAGTCAATGTTTTGCAACACAGTGTAGCAGGAAAAAATGTCAGTGCGTTCCTGAGCTGCTGCATTTTACAGGACAGGGTCTTCAGTACAGTCATTTGATGACTGCATATTGTTTGTGTGTAAGTGGTGATGTGCACATACGTTTGAAATATTTCTTGTGGAAGTTACTATCTTTCAATGTTTGTATTTTCTTTTCATTCTGTTTTTATCTCTCAGCGTGGATCTGCTTATTAGTTACCACTGCATTTTGAGACACAGATGCTTACCATTATAGCTAGTAAATGAAAAAAAAATAGTTACATGTTATTTTTTCCTTGTCATGGAATTGTGACATGACATAATGGGGCCTGGTCATACACTTCTTGAACTAGTGTTAAACTTGTAATAACTTAATGTGAGTAGTATGAAGCCTTTAGGTGATTTTCAAGAGTCTGGTACCTGATTAAGCCTCCAGTGTTATAATACACTGCTACTGGATGGCTGCAGCTGGCTCTGTTGGAATGGCAATTGATAAGTGCCATGGAGCACACTGTTGTATCGTCAAATACGCTGAGTTCTTGGCCACACGGTTATTGCCATTCCAAACCCTAAGCCAAACAGGAGGTTAAAGTTTGGTGTCAAGTTGTAGAGGGATAATCTGCTCCTATTGTAGAGCTGACCCACTGTTATTGTGGTTATACTCGTTATACTCTACTGGAATATTTTAATTCTATGTTATTTTTAGAAACAAAGGTGATTTACTAGGCAAAGTGGTTTGCATTTAGAAATTAGGGCACCTATTCCAATGAGTGTTGAGTTTTAAGAAATAGCTGTTAAGAAAAAGAAAAAAAAATGCTGATATACTTTAATCCAGGAGATTGCCTATGACAGTAACTTACTATGTGGTGTAACTCTGCATAGAGTTCTCACAGATATTTCCATCTATGCATAAACTGCTCTGTTTGTAGATGTAGTGAAGTTAGAGATCATTACCTAATTTTGCTAAGGCAAAATTGGTGAAAACCTTAGTAGAGGAGCTGGTGTATACTGTCCTCACAAGTGGTCCCCGGAGTATAAGCCATGTCTCAGTTCACTGCACAATGCCTGACGTTAAATTGTTGAGTGATGGAGCTGTGCTATTTTCAGAGAAAATATTGTGTCAATAGTTAAGTGTGAAATACAGAAGTTTTCACTGAAATACAGTAGGCAGAGGAGACCATAGCATAGCAGTTTGTGACATCAGTGATTTATTTGTGTCTTGCAAATAAGATCCTACAGTCTTAGGAAAACTTACCTGAAAAATATACTTGAATGAGAATGGTTCTTCAGATGTATGTAATTTATTAACCTTCAAAAGAGACTTTCTTGGTGGCTAAGTTAAAATTTAATTTTGTTCTAGAATAGAATATAGTGAAAACTGAAATAATGCTGATCTTGCATCCAAAACGCATGGGAGTGAAATATCCGTATAATAGTAGTTTGTATCTAGAGCAGCTCTGGTCTCCAGACTGCGTGGATTGTTTACTTCCTGGTGTGTTTCATGAATAGTTCAGTGTTTGCATTTTTTATAAAAGTTTGATGAGCCAAAGTGCTGAATTTAATTTGCAATTTAGTGATTAGACTAAACTTTCCTTTTCATGTTTTTGATCTTGCTAGGTTGGCAGCCTCGGTGGTTTGTTTTAGACAATGGAATATTGTCATACTATGATTCACAGGATGATGTTTGCAAAGGCAGCAAAGGAAGTATAAAGATGGCTGTGTGTGAAATTAAAGGTAAGAGTTAATAGATTTCTACTTGAGGAAATTTTAGCTGCCAGGGAAGTAGAAAAGATCACTCAACATACATTTTGCATCACAAGTTTTGCCTCCTCTGTGTTTATCTGTAGTCCAATGTGACTGCTTCATAGTTCACAAACAATAACAAATGTGAATTATGAAATAGTGACAAATAAAAATATTTTTGACAGTTAGGGTTCTGTTTTGAGATTTAGAACCCACCATATATTTCTTTTTGTTTTAAATAGTGTGTGCCTATGGCTTATGCTTCAAGTTACCTCAGCTAGTTATTTAGTTCTGCCATTTATCCCCCTTATGACCAAGGGTAAGAGACTGATTCGTAAATGCTGTTTTTTCAGAAGAGCAGCAGCAGTGACCCAGAAGAGGAAATTCTTATAAACCGGAGATGTCTAGTCTTTTGTCTTCCTGAGTCATTTTTACTTTTGTCACTGTTAGAAGCTGCCTACGTGTATAGGTGATGGATGTGATAGAGTAGTAAGTGAACTGTTTGTGTCAGACTGTGAGTTTAGCCTTTAGTGTGTTTTAAGTTGTAGGTCAACGTCCTTGGCTAATAGCAAGGCATTGTGTAATTTTCCATTGCTTTCAGCTCTTGACCTGAAGATAACTTGGCCTGTGATGTGGGTCCTTGTATATTAAAAAGCAGAACTTCTTATTTTACATGGGCCACCAAATTATTTTTCATGTGGTAACTCCTTTTCATTACTGTTTCCTTGGTGTAGATGAAATCAGTAATGTGAAGTGGAAGATCCCATTTTTTTTGGCCATTTCAGTTGTTCATTTTGCTTGTCATCTTCTTTTGGTGAGGGAAGGATAATAGTTGAAGTCTGGATTTGGTGTAGTCTCCTGCATCCATGGCTAGTGAGGACTGGGTCTGGAGGAACTGTGGTTGGTAACATGAAACTCAGCAGAGTATTCAGTTAAAGATGTAGTATTGAACGTAATAGACTGTAAACAAAGTCTACTTCTGTTCTTGGTTCTAGGACTCTGTGACCTGAAGCCAGATTTTGTCTAGAAGGGAGGTGATTTCAATCTTTAGCCTAGTCCTCTGTAAATATATGTCCTTGCAACAAAACTCTTCAGTTTGCCATGTTCACACCAGATTTGGAATACAACGGTTATACAGATTCCTACACAGTATATTGTTAATGCAGAAAGGGATCTCCACTGTACTTGAGTCTGGCTACTGTTCCGTGTCTCCTTCCTATCTACTGACTCGAAGGCATGCTGGGGAGAAGGCTTGAGCAGCTTTGGGCTTTTTGTTCCTTAGCAGTGTAATATTGTGACTTACTGTGTTACTATGGGATTGTAATAAACGTTTTGAAATACTTGGAGCATTTAATAAATGTTACTCAGTTAAGGTTATTGTGTTTTTTTTTCTGCTCTATCACAAGTTCATGCAACAGACAACACAAGAATGGAGCTAATCATCCCAGGGGAACAGCATTTCTATATGAAAGCCGTTAACGCAGCTGAAAGGCAAAGGTGGCTGGTAGCACTGGGGAGTGCAAAAGCCTGTTTAGCAGATACCAGAACAAAAAAAGAAAAAGGTATGTGTGTTACCCAGAGCGTATACGATCTTACCACTTTTTGAAATGCTTATTTGCAGATTAATGGTAGTGTAAGTATTATGATAGTCAGTATTATTGTCTCTAAATATAAATGTTTCTAGTCATCTCATATGGTAAATTCCCCCTTGATATTTGAATTAGAGGTCACCTCCGTTGACCTCTTCTATCTTAAGAAGCTGAAATACCAGCAACTTACTGTCATTACAAGAACAAACATGATGTTTGTAGCTGTTGTGAAGCCATTTAATTTGTGCTGTTTTGATTCAGTTACTGCTGGTTTTTCCATAATTTTTTGTGGATGACTTAATGTAACCATTTCCAGCCACTCTGATTGTCACTGAAAATCTGGACAGAGACTCTCTTAACACGATTTGTAGTGTTAGAAAGCAGGCATTGCTTTATTGTGGTACCAGGTGCATGGGGGATATCTCCTCCTAACATGCACACCTGACCTCTAGAAGCTCAGTTATGCATTGTAATCACACATATTCATAATACATCCCTGAAATCGTACACATTCATTGTTATTTTCTTAAACAATTGATTAATTTTCTCTCAACTAGCATGTAAATTAGTTTGCATGCTCAGTTCTTTTCCTCTACCTCTTTTTTTGGGGTCTGGGGTATGTTTAGGGTAGGTAGTCCATGAGTTGGTGGTTGTGATCAGCCCCTGCCGGAATTACCTTTCCCTCAGTTACTGCTGTGCATACTCACAATTCAAAAACACGATAACAAAGTTTATACGTTTTTACGGATGTTCCCCTTTCAAGAATAGCCAGTTCTTGATAAGGAGTCTCTCAACTAATCACTCCTGACAGCTTCAAGGATGGTCATATTGTTCTGTCTTAAGATATGTGCACACAGCCTCCTAACCCCTTCATGAAATTCTTTCACAGAGTTTAACCTCTTCATTGTTGGATAACATGGTGGGCGTAAATTTCATCCGCTAAATTTTTTCTGCATTACGTTGCAGCTAAGAAAGGTTTCAACTTTATCTTTTCTAATAACATGCCGCTTTCTTAATGGTCATTAAATTAGCATCAGTTATCCAAAAGTACAAACTATTGCCTGCTTCAAGTACAGTTCTTGGCTTGTTGCAGAATCCAGTTTTCCTCAAAATTCAGTGAAAGTTTAAGTGAATTTTAATGTTTAAATTTAAAAGAAAAGTGCTTAAAAATTAAAATGTGTACATACATTGTGTGCAATAAATTGATGTTTCCTTTAATTTTTTATAGAAATAAGTGAGACCAATGAATCTCTTAAAACCAAAATGTCTGAACTTCGTCTCTACTGTGATCTTTTAATGCAGCAAGTTCATACAATACAAGAATTTGTTCACCATGATGAGACTCGCTCTCCTCCCAGCATTGAGGTATAGAATTTTTAGAATGCCATTGGAGAACTGCATTACGTGATACATCACCTCCAGTTTCTGTTGCCATCTTATGCCTTTTTCATCTCCCTAATGCTAGAATATTTAACCTAAGGTCGATTTTTGAGTGCTTGTGTGTATATAATACTGTGATTATATGTGCATAAAGTACCTGGATGATATAACTGTAATTATAACGTGCATTAGGAAGCAATTGAGTTACTGAGTCGTTTGGTTGAAAGACCAGAAGAGCTGTCATATGAATTACACAATAGTTTGTCTTCTATCGCATGTCTGTTACGGGCAGAGATAGTTGGAACAATCTTGTTTGTGCATTCTTCCTTGTGTAGGAGAATATTCCGTTTTGTTATTGGTGAAAGCTAGTGTTACAGATACTGAAAACTTGTGGTGTAGATAAGTCTCTGTGAATATGCACAAGTAAAGTTATTGTAGTATTTCTACTTTTAAATAAAAGTCAGTACTGGAGATTATGGAGGGCTTCATTCTTTATACTCTTGAGCAGCGTGTGGAAGATATTGTTGTCCACTTAAGGCAAAGCAAGGAGTTGTGAGGGACTGACACTTAGTCACAACACAGCAAGCTGTTGTCAGTTTACAGCGAGGTGAAACTGATCTGCAGGCTCCTTGTGCTGGCGCGATAAAGCTGTTTGCACGTTCTGCTGCAATTCATTTGTTTTGCTGAATGATCATCTCATGCCGGTTAGACAAACTTTGCCGTAAAAACATTAATGGCATTGTTGGCTGATGCCCTCAAGAAATTCCCATGTCAGAAAGAAATTACAATGCTGTCACATTTGTTTGCTTAAATTAAACCTCATTGGAAAGTGTACATCTGATAAAGTAAAATGGGAAATGGAAGCTTTTAATGGTAAGGAGAGAAATTTGTGTGTGTGAATAGAGTTGGAGGGGAGGGATGTATTTGCATATTGTAATTTTTTTTTTGCTTTTGTTTATTTTCAGAACATGAATGAAGCCTCTTCCTTGCTTAGTGCCACATGTAATACATTTATCACAACCCTTGAAGAATGTGTGAAGATCGCTAATGCCAAGTTTAAGCCAGAAATGTTCCAGCTGCCTCACCCTGATCCCTTAGTTTCTCCTGTGTCACCATCACCTGTCCAAATGGTTTAGACACTTTTAAAATACTATTTTTTTTATCTAAGTGTCATATTGTTGGTTGGATGAGGGCAAGAATGGCAAAAGGCTATGCTATTGCTATGTGCTATGATGTCAACAGTTGAAATCTTGACTCTGTTATGATCAGTACTGGTCCTAAATATAAATCAGTAATTTTCCATTCCCAGTCTTTGTTTGCTAGACTTTACACAATCAGAGAAAATTATCGTACATGTCAAGACTCTGTAATGAGGTATCTTGTAAGTGAATGAGGTTTAACTTTTCCTCAGCTCAACTGTTGGTTTGTTTTTTAAAATGCCAGCTTACACTGATCTTAAATTTCATAACCTTGCCTCCTGCTTAAACAGAGAAATGCCTTATGGCTTGAAGCACTTCAGCAAGATAGCATATCTTGCAGTGTGTATAATTCAAAATGTTTATATTAATCTAACATGCTCTTATTTAACAAAAAGGTAAATAATGGTAAAGATATTACTTGCATAACTCTTTACTACTGATTATTTCCCTTAGGAGCACAATGTATGTGGAATCATCTTTAAATGTCTTCTTGATCATAAGTATAGATTCCAAAATGAGCTATATTGTGGGTATTTGTTGTGAGAATCCTTTTCTTTGCACTTAGATCTCTTATCTCTTTGTCTTCAATCAATTTACTTACAAAGCGGGTCATTATTTGTTTAAATTAATAACTTTCTCTGATATGCATAGATATTTGACAGTGGTATCAGGAGAACCACAAGGAATTGAGAGGCAGGATTTGACTTTATTGTGTAACAGGGAATTTAAGCTGGCATTTGGTAGAGAAAAAATGTCTTGATATTTCTGTACATCGTAGCAATTAACAAATAGCTCTATGAGTAACTTTGGAGCAAGAGAGGATGAATTCCATAGAAAGTAGGTAGTATTTTTTTGTAGTAAACTATTTCCTGTGTGAATGCTATAAAACTTTAATATTGATGGCAATCCATCTGTTTTCATATTGTTAAATCAGATTTTTAACTAAGAATGTTTGGTTTTAGTTAAAAAAAATTGCCCTTCTTCTTTGTAGAGACTATAAATAAAGTAGAAATTAATGTAGATATGCATATGATTCTTATAAGTAGCTTGTGACATTTTTGATGTGGTTTGTTGGGTTTTTTTTGTTATGGTTTGTGTTTTTTCCCTAGATGAAGCGTTCCGTTAGCCACCCTGGTCCTTGCCATTCAGAAAGGTAACTTTCTATTTCGTTAAGCTTTTATCTTATGTCTCAAAAAACCTCCCTGAACCTGCTAGCATTAAAATCAGATTGCTAGAAGAATTGTTCACTCACAGAAAGAAAATTAAACAGCATAAACTGATCTCGTTTTGAAAACTAGGGGTGCAGGTTATCAGTGTTGGTGGCAAATAATGCAGCTGCTGTCTCTAATACACTATAAAAATTTCTTCATTCTAGAAACTTTATGCAAATGACTCATTCTGACAAATTCATAAAATTAGACGTAGAGCTTGAAACGCTAATTTGTTCTCTTTGGGTCAGTATTTCAGATTCTCATTTTCTTCGACATGCAAAGATTATATTACATTTTTATTTCCATTTTCAGGCTTTATAATTGTGAAAATTAAGAATATTCTGTTGTCTGCCATTTTTAGTTTAGTTCAGTGAAAAACATCGATACTAATGGTTTATCAAAGCACCAAAATTATTTTAAATTCAAAGTATATTAGATTTATGTGGGTTGTTACAGATTCTGCTTACTGATAGATCTCATTTCTTTTGTAGGAGTAATCACTCTCTAAAAGAACCAGTTTCATCCCTTCACCGATTTTCACAGCGGCGCAGAAGAACGTACTCGGATACGGAATCTTACAGTGATACTCCCATTGAAGATTCTCAGAGTAAGTTTGGAAGCGGAATGGTTTTCTTTTGTATCTTTCTGTACAATTTATTACCCGGTTTACAGCAGCTGTTCTAGTGCTGATACCAGCACCTGGGGAAAAAAGTTTATTTTACTTAGGCAAAGTTTTGGTTCTAAGACTCCTATATTATAAATCAAAGCACTTGTGTAGTTTGTTGTATGGCTGACTTTTGCTGGCTTTCGTTCATATTGAAAAGGATATTACAGCTGGAGTAGTTGTATTGAAATCAGTGGGACTACTGGCAAGATGAAATAGAGACATAACTAGAAAAGGAATGTGTGGACTAATAGAATCTTGCATGAATGATATTCTGGTAAGTGGTGTGGAATACTGTTGTTGGCCACCTGCTTGTCACAAAACAAATTCTCATTTTTGTGATCTCTGTGAGTGGCAGGGGGCAATTTCCACCCAGTGCATTGCAGAAAGATGGTTAATTTCAGTGACTGCTTGCCTTTTGTAGAGAACAGCACTGTTCTGAAAGGGTGTAGGCTTGCCAAAAATAAATAAAAGCGACACAAAAATTATGAAATGATGTCATGATCAGAACATCATTCCTTCCTGATTAGATGGGTCTTCTGAGTTAGTAGCCAGTTCTTCTGTGATTTTTCCTTTTGAATCTTGCTGTCTTTTGACACCATCCTAACTCCTCTCAGGGAGACTTTAACTTGACTAGTTCTGGTTTAGTCTTGCTTCCTTTTAGAGTGCCTTGTGCCTCACTGGGATTGAAAAACGTGAGGCCTGTGCATTGCTGAAAGCCCATGTGAGCACAAAGGGGTACTAATGCTTTATGTTCTATTGTGTAGCAAGTATTCACTTCTCTCCTCTATTTCCTTGGCTCTCTGATGTTCCCATGTTGCAGGGTGACCACCTCTTTCACTTCACTTCGCTTCACTCATCCGCTACTAGCACAGGGTGTGCCAGCATGTATCCCAAGCTTATCAACTTAGTTTAGATCCTATTCTGTGTCTCGGATCCTATTCTGTGTCTCATTGCTAATGCAGGTGCACATCAGTCTAGCTTCCTATAATGCAAGGTTTTTGTTGTTACCATCTGGATGTTCTGATGTTGGTTACCCAGTCTGACTCTTTTCAGGACTGCTGAGAATAGACTTTGTCTTGTGTGTTTCTGCTAATACCAGGCTTTTTTGGTTCCTTTCTATGTAGCTCTAGTTTCTAGCTTGGTTTCTCTGTTTTTTTTTGTTTTCTTTTACTGTGTTAGAAGCTCCCTCTGTTACTTTCCAGTTATCTTAGTTCTTTCTCTGTCACGTAGCCTAGCAATACTCAACTTGCAGTAAGTCATCCATTTCATCTTAATGATAGAAAATGTTTTAATTAAATGCTTATTGATGCATTGGTTCTTGAAAAAAAATAATTTCTTGTGTTCCTCATACAGAATATGTCTGCATGTCATAGATTACTATCCTTCATAATGTAAAAAATCATTGTGTAATAAAAAAACAAAATAAAAATACTTGATTTATAGTAGCTGAACATTCTTCATATCCATCATCCTTGGGCATGATATTGATTTAAATAAATTTTTCAGGAAAAGTCCAGAGTAATTATGTATAGGAAATACTTAGCAAATAGAATAATTGACAGATCGTGTGAGGTTTTTTTGGGGTTGAAAATTAAATACTTATTGATGTCTTCATAGGATCTGCTCACTGTTCTAGAAGTGCTGTCAATGGAGATCTGGTATCATCAACCATTCCTGAAGAAAATAGATCAATATCAAAGGAAAGATCTGAACCGGAAGAGGCTCTTTCATCCTTTTCTTTTTGAAGACACTGAAAGTATTAAATTTTCTATAAATAATGCTATGCAAAGGCTGCTGTAATTATACTGTTGTTATAGGAAGTAGTCATTTCCCTTTTTAGAAGGATTTCTCTGCACTTTATAGAATAACATAAAAAGTATCTTTGAAGTGTATTTTATCTTTATATAGTTTATTTGCGAGAGTATTTTCCTAATATTTCACAGTTTGAATGTGCATTTTTTGGAACAAATGATGGCTTAACAGATAAGCATCCACATTTGTAAATGTAGCTCTTTTTTAAAAGTGTGACAGTCTGACTGATACGTTAGTAAACCTGCAGGTTATAAACTTTAGCAAAAAGGTTTCTTTTTTTTTGGAGAAAATGCAACTTGTGCCATGGGCCTGTTGGTCATTTGTACTGGGTCATCCACCAGGAGCTGTGATTAGCCCTGCAATGGGTTTTTTGCCTGTGGAAGGGCTGTGGGAATGGGCACTAATGGGTCTACTCTAGCAGCTTGATGGTAATTGACATTGCCTTCTTTAAAAACATAAGGGTATACATAATCTGGTCCTTATTTTTAGCCAATGAAAGTAGAAATATTTAGTGTATTTTTCTAAACAAATGTATAAAAATAACTTAATATGAAGCATTTGTACCAAACATTGGATATTTAATAATTTTTATTTATTTATTCTTTTTTGCATCAAAAATTTCTACCTACTTTCACTTCTAAAGATCTATTAAAGGCTTCAAAATGTGCATAACTTGTTTCTGGGGTGTGTAGCATGACAAATAGCTAATGCAGCACTGTTAAGATTTACTCTACTCACTTAAGGTGTATTTTTAGCAAGTATTATAGAAGCAAGAGCTGAAATATTAGACCATTAAGCTGCTGTTGTAATGAGTATTTGTATCTATAAGTATTTTATTTATGACATATTTATACAAAAGGGAGCTTCTGGTTTTGTGACTCCTTTATATCATTTGAGTGTGGTATACACCAGGAGACAGATTCTGCTCTCAGTTACATCAGTGTAAATTTGCATTAATTGTAAGTGAGATCAAAGTCTGACTCTCTTGATAATTAATGAGTAATATAGTATAACAGTGCCTACTAGCACCTTGGTCCATAAGGTTGTTAGCGTTAGCATCGTAAGCTTTTGGGGATTGTTTTGGGTAATCATTTAGGGATAAACTTGGTCTATAAAGTCTTAGCTGTAGAGCACTTCAAGCAAGCCATTTACTGTTTTTGATTTACACAATTGTTAAATAGATGTACAGGGTTTTTTGCACTCAAGCACATACCAAAATCTGTTTTTATAATCAAATCTTCTTTAATTTGGTTTAACTAGTCTTCCTTTTGTATACAGGAATAATTTGGTGTATTTGAAGCAGGCTGGAAAGGATAGATGGGAATGGAATGGAAGCTTTCCTTATAAATTTCTGGAATGTTGATTTGTCTAAATCAAAATCAGTCCAAACATTGAGGAAAAACATATGAGCTGCTGCCCATATATAAAATAGCAGTTTATAAACCATTATGTCAGGGTCAAATGGAACGGAATGGCTCGTCCAAGTAAAGTTATTTGTGGATACCAGCTCAGAGCTGTCATTTGTGCTCAGTTCTGTCAGTTTTCATGCAACTAGCATTTGCATATATATATCAGCCGAACACATGCTTGTACATTTTTTTCTGAATGTTTGCTTTAATGTATTCTGTATGATGCTTACGACAATTGTAAAAATAAGTATTAAAAAAGATGTTCGGAGAAGTAAACTACATATTGCAATAAGAGCGTTGTCTTGAATCGTATGCTTAGAGCTGCTTTTAGAAATTTCAGTGAGGTTTCTGCCAGCTTGTCCAGTGTTAAGTACATGTCATATTAATACCTTTTTCTGGCTTTCAGCTACTACAGAGAAAATAGTTTGGGCTCCTCATTGTGCAGGAAAAACTCTTGAGACTGATCAGTGCATGTAGTAGTGATTACTAATTTTAAGTACTGCCACAGATAGGATTGTTTAGACAAAAGTTATGATTACATTCAAACACAAAATTTGCATATAATTAATTCAGCATTGTTTTGGGTTTCTCCATGTTACTAAAGCTGGAATGATGGCTTTGTATAAATGTAACATGTTCCCGCTAAAGTTAAATCAGCCTTTTTATATACACCTGTGCCGAACTCTGTGGCAAAAAAATCTTAAAGTGTATTTCAATGAAAACAGTGAAGATGATACGCCATCATACTTCTGGTATCTGGAGCTAAGAAGTCATTTCTGAAAGCGATACTTAGCTGACTGAATCACAGTGGTCCATGTGTAGTTAAGACTAAAAAAAAAATCTGGATGCTCTTAGTAATTTTCAT